ATTCTTCATGCAATGTCTCGTGTGATGATAATAATCATCATCATCACATTAATGTGTTTTTTACTGGATGGAGGCTGTCAGCATGTTTTTGCACTGTCATGGATAATGATAATACATTTATTGATTATGTGATGAAGCAAAACTAAGCTTTTATGTTTTGATCAGGCTTGTAGAGGCTATGGAATAAAATAAAAATACAATAATATAAAGATGATGTCTTAAAATTCCTTGTTTTTCAGAAATATATTCTGTTTACAATCATATAAATTATTAAAAAAGCAGCAAAATCTCACATTTAAGAGGCTGGAATCAGATTTTATCCTGATAAATTGCTTAAACAATTAGATAATTAAGATATTTTCAATATCTTATCAATAGGTAATTATCTACAGATTATTTTCTCCATGAATCGATTAATCGTTTTGTCTTCAACATGTCAACAAATAATAAAAACCCCTCCACACAGCTCAAAATGATGCATTCAGGTGCTTGTTTTATTTAACCATCAGCCCCAAAAAACTAAATATATTCATATGTGACAAAGAAAGCAGAAATAAATCACATTTAAGAAGCTGGTTCAAATATTAGGGCACATTCTGCTTGAAAAATGACTTAAATCATGAATTGATGATTAAAATAGATGCAGATAAATGTTCCATCGATGACTAATGGATTAACTGTTTCAGCCGTAATGATAATTGTGGATTATTATCATCATTAGCAGCAGCAGCAGCACAGAATCAGGCCACATATGAAGCTCCAGTAGTTCCTCTGCTTGTTTTTCGTGGATCTTTGATGTTGCAGATTTCTCTGGAGACAAATTCCAGCTCTTTTCTGGTGACGTTCAGCTCCGGTTTCTCTGCTTCAGTCTGTGTTTAAACTCGACAGCAGAAAATCTGTTTTCATCCTGATGATGAAACATTTTGGAAAGAAATCTCTGGGCTGCTTCTCCAAATGGAGGCTTTGATTAGGGAAGAGAGGAGATGAGGAAGGGGATGGTGAGTTTTCAGCTGGGGTGAGGAGGATTTGGGGGGAGGGTCCCAGCCCCACATAAGCTGATCTAAAGGGGTGTTATAGCACAGAGAGAGAGAGAGCGAGAGAGGGGAGGGAGGCTTTAGGGGTGACACCATGGGTAACACCTCCCTACAAACATACTGTAGCTGACTGTACACAAAATTAAAGCTCCCATAATTATTAAGATATCTGTCAATTAACAAACAAATCCAGGTAAAATTACAGAACAAATACTTATTTTACTGTTAATTGTCACAAATTTTATGTATTAACAGTATTAAACTTGAATTTAACAGTTTAATCTATTAAATAAACAATAAATATCTGCAGAAAATTACAGTTTGCAACCATATTTAAAAAAAGGAAATTTTCTTTAAATTAATAGCAATTTTATGATTAAATTCACAAGCTATTTTATAATTTTATTAATTAATATTTGTATGTATTTAAAAAAAATACAGAAATCTTTCAAATAAACAGGAAAAACACCATTAAATTACAGATTGTTTTATTTTACAGTGTAGAAACAACAAGAACAAACATTTTATTGACCATGTGAACTGAAGGCTGCAGTTTGTGGAAATTTACGACCACTCTAAGACTGTTTTAAATAATTAATAGGATTAACATTAAAATCACAATATGGCTGAGTGCAATATGCAAATGTTAATTCTTTGATAGTTATCAAAGATAAATATATGTGACAAACAGCTTTATAATGCTACAGAGCACTACAGAGATGTTCTGGTCTACAAATCTAATGTAAGGAAACATGTTTGTTGGGTACAAACCCCAGAAAATGTCCCATCAACATGATTTTAATATTTTTTTTCATTCAAAATTACATTTGTGATTCCCACACTCATCATAAATCATATCACAATCACAATATCTGTCAAAATAATCACAGTTTGATTTTTTTCACCATATCGTGCAGCCCTGAATGTCTAATCAGCCCGATCTGTAGACTCACGTATCAGACCGATACGCTCATTACACAGCAGAAAATCACCATAAACTCAGTATCATGAATTGTGAGTTGTGTCACATCCTTTCATAGGAAACAACCAGAGTCATTAAGATTCTTCCTCTGGGGGACGGTGATTGTAATTTCATAGTAATCCAATCAATAGTTGTGAAGACGATTCCCTCCTGACTGACCAGAAGTATCCTCCTCTGTATCCACACTGCCAGCTGACACCTTCATCCCGTCTAAAACTGAGACACTATAGCTGAACCCCAGTTGGACAAATAAAGTTCAGTTCAAGTGATTTATTGACGCTTAAGACTGAAACTCTATCTGTTTTTCTAACCAGAGGTTGAGTGAGTTGAGTGGTTCTGTCCACAGACTCAATAATGTTCTTCCTCCGTTCCCCCGGAGGAATCGCTGGTTTTAAAAGCGTTACAGTAAAGTTCACACTGTGGTTTTTTTGGGTATCGATGGACAGCGTTCTCTCCTCTTTTGTACTTTCCCAGCAACAATCAGTGTTTTATTTTGTCAAGGAAGGACTTTTCTTCCTCCGTCTGTTATCTCAGGTTTGGTGGTGTGATGAACTTTGGAGGGTATCTCCCCTCCAGCACCTGCTCGCGTCCCCCCACCACCCTAACACCCCCCCGCTGCCTCTTTGAGCTCAGCGTGGAGCTTATCTGTGTTAAGCTGATAAGGCTAACTCAGCTGCTTGGTCCCTCCGGCTGCTGGATGGACTCAGAGAGATTTTTCTAAAGTAATTATGCTGCAAAGTTGCCTTTGTAGACAAAAACTTCAAGGCCACACGCTGTGTAGTGGTGAGACGAGGCAGCATGAGAGTTTACGTGTGTTTAATGGTGAAAGGAGGACAGTGTGGAAATACTGCATCCAAGTATTAGCATCAAAATATACTTAAAGTACCAACAGTAAAAGTACTCATTATGCAGAATGTTATATTATTGATTGATCATTAAGATTGCAGCTAAAGGTGGAGCTAATTTGAACTATTTTATATACTGCTGGCCTGGGGAACTTAATCCATAATAACCTCATGAGAAATGTGCAAGTCTGTATCTACAGTGTTTGGTTTGTCCGTTTCGGGCTACTGTAGATAAAAACTGTTCGTTTTAAAGTAACAAAAACACAATTATTCATACATTCAGGTGATTATACACTAATGAAAACATACCTATTGACATTATATTCCATTTATGCCAATAGATCCTCCTCAATGTTACACACTGGACCTTTAAGATATGATTTTGACAGATCTTAAAAATGTATTGTGAATTTAACATTTTTCAGTCGCTTTTAAACAGATTTTCTTTCATATACTTCTTTTGGTCAGTATGGATGTGAAATAGGTTCATAATGGTTGTAAAAAGTCTTAAATTTAACCTGCAGAAACCCTGTAAGAATCGAAAATCTGCAAAGTAACTAAAGCTGTCAAACAAATGCAGTAGAGTAGAAGTACAAAGTAACATAAAATAGACGTAAAGTAAAGTACTGATGGGAGTTCTCTGCTGCAGAAGCATACGATCTATCAGACTGTTGCAATACAGACAAAATATATTGGTAAATTCATTAAAAGAACATCTGCTTTGATGCAGCTGTGTTGATTCAGTTCCACTCTGTTCACCAGCTCGTGAGCCGGTAGCTGAAAGACGCTAAAATGCCCCGTAGAGCTGTGGATCCAGGTGATTGATCTCTGTGTTCACCAATAGACGTGACCTCTTTCACATTGTAAATACAGAAATATTGATTTGTGCTGTTACACTACCACTGCATTAGTCGTGCTGTAGGATCTTCTGAAATAAATCTCTTGCGTATATCGAACAATACTGCCGCATCAGGAAGCTTTAAAAAGTGAGACTACGGTGAATCAGCACCAACAGCACATTTTACACCCTCTTTAATGGACACTGCAAGTCTCAGTATTGTCTTCTTCCAGCCAAATATTCAAACATCAGTGAGAGATCAGTGTAGAAGCTGTATCTTTACAGTGTTATCTGGCTCATTATCTATAATTTATATCCGTAACAAACACAGTTGGACTCTGTTTTTATCATCTCTTGGTGTTCTTGGTGTTCGGATTGT